GCCAGGCTTCTCTGTGATTTATCTGTTGGACAGTGGGTGGCCAAGGGGCACTGCAGGCAAATGGTTATCCACCTCGATAATTAGGGAGGGGAAAGGCAAACACAAACACACCCAGGCTGACATTCAAAACAAAGTGGAGATTTAACCGTGATTGCTCACCATACCACCCCAGTTCTTGTCTGCCAATCTGCCAGGAGGAAACCGGGGCCAAGAAAAAAAAAAGTACTGCTCGTAATTTATCAGTACAGCTGATTTGGAAAAAGCATAATTCTGAGCAGAAGAACGAAGGCCTGAATTAGGAGCCCAGCTTTGTGCTTACATAAACGATGGCTTGATTTCCCTAAGTCTTTACCGGGCTTTGGTGGGCAAGGTCTTTACTAAGTACCCTCCATCTCTAAAAAACCCCAACTCTCCAATCTTTTTGGTTTCTTTCATTCATTCATTAATACATATATTTATGCATGCATTCAATAAACTGTAGACCTAACTGTGGATGAAATATTGGCAGCTGATGACCAAATGACAGAACAACTAGTCCCTCACAATAGAAGAAGGAGCAGCATATTGATCTCTCTCAATTCCTTGAAGGGCAATGCTATTCTAACTTCTCTTTTCTAAGGAACAGATATATGGCTTTTCGCTCAAGGAAAAGGTATGATAGATTTTTTTCTAGACATTTTTCAAAGAAAATGAATGTAGTCAGCTACTTTTTACATGTTAATTACTCAGCTTAGCATTGATCTACTTTTGCCCTCTCCTCCTCAGCCCTACCCTTGCTCCCTACCCACTCCATCCTCCCCCCACTTCCATGGCTAGGGTTTGGTTCTTCCCCCTAATTTTAATCCAGCTCAGTTCAATCGAATTCAGTGCTCATTCATAGGGCCTTTCTCAGTACATGGAGTTTACATACTCCAAGAATTACCTTCAAGGAGTTTCTAGTCAGTCAAGTGGAAAATATAAAACATCAAAATGTGTTTGGAGAAACATCAAAATATAAAAATGTGTTTGGAGAAGGAGGTACAAAAGCTGGACCAGCCAGCGAGGCCACAGAGCTCTGGTTAAACCCAGGGGGACGTGGCGCACCACCAACCACTTGAAGTCCTTCCTGGGTTATCTGCAGGTCTGTGCTCTCCTTGCCATTCTTGTCTCCCTTTTATATATAAATAAATCCCAAAGAATGTGATTTAATCTGCTGGTTCCTGATATCTGGAGGCTATAGGATATTTTTATCTAAAGGATATATGTGATGATGAAAAAAGCTTTGTCATGGGGGTCTTAGACATTAGCCTTTGCTAAGTGATGTGTTGTGGGGCCAGTTTTCTAATGACTCGGAGCGTCAGTTGTCCCAGCTATAAAATGGGGACAACACCCATGTCATGGTGCCGTCCTGAGGGAGAAATCAGGTGACAGCTGCTGTACATACCTTCTCCCTAGTATCATTGCTCCCTCAGTATACTAACCCTGCCCAAACTCAAGGTGAAACCTGGGCAGAGTGGCCAGAGTCCCCTGCTAAGAGTTGTTTACATGCCATCCTACATTTTAGTTAGTTTCAATGTGGTAATAGTCACCTCACCATTAATGAAACAGGTACATGTCTTATCAGGTATATGGCCAAGTCCCTCTCTCCCATTTCTTTCTTAGCTTCCAAGCCCATTATGATTTTCTTAAAAGAAAAACAAAAAACAAGGAACACTTTCTTTACAGCTGGCTAAAATTGGTATGATTCCCACAAATAGAAGTGAACACAAATCTCCGTTAATTCTAGGATCGCTTGTACCCAGAAGAGGCTGGAAATGTGTCCCTGTCCAGTTCGTACTTTCCCTGTCTGTTCAATCTCCATTTTCTCCTCCTTTTTTAGTTCTCTATGTTCATTTCCCTCTTATGTTCCTTCCCTTTCCCCTTTGGATGTTGAAAATGTCCACCAGGCATCCCGTGGACTTCACCTCCAGCAGGCTCCATCTCACGAGGACACACACCGATCTCAGGAACCTGTGGGCAAGAGCCTGTGGCTTTGGGCGGTTAGAAGGATGGCAGGCTCTCCGAAATCTGAGTCAGTGCTGCCCCCCAAATGGAATCCAATATGCATGCACTCACTTGTGAATTTATGAAGCCATATGTCTGTTGGCTTAATTCTTCAGAACAACATTTCATAAAACTAAATTATAATCTGCCAGAATTATGATAAAACCAGCTTGGACAGATGTGGCTACAATACATTGAAGTCACCGCTTGATATTAATGTACATTATTAAGTCAAAAGAAGAACACATGTGCTTCTTGATTTAGGATGTCCCAGATTAATGCTCTCTCCCACAATAGAAATGACAGATTTGAGGCAAGGAAAATGGATACATTCTACTAAGCAATCACTAGCCAGACAGCTTCTAACAAAATTGTGCTTTTAAAGCAACCCTGTCTTAAATTCTTGTCCACCTCCCAGGCCTCCAAGTTTCACCAGAGATTCAGGACGATGCCTTTTGTCAGGGGCCAACGGGGAGTGTGAAATGAACACCACTGTCCCCAGCAGAACGGGTCCGCAGTGTTGCATGTGGGCAGCGCCTCTCCGGTTTCTCGTGTGCTCAGAGAACACACCCCACAGAGTGCACTCACCACAATAGCCCATGTGTGACCTTTGGAAAAGTCCTTGAAAACAGTGAAACAAGAGTCTTAGTTGAAATCTGGAATCCATTCCAGTCTCACACAGGAAGAAAATTAGGCATAGAACAACAAAGCCCATAGTTCTGAGAAACCTGGGGAGGCTCTGGCTGACGTTAAAATCATAGTTGTTTTTTTTTTTCCTCACTACTTTGTATTTCATAAAAGCTTTTCATCTAAGTAACCCAAAGCTGCTAGAAAATACCGTGCAGTTAGTAGATGGCAATTACTGGTTTCTCCAGTGAACAGTGCAAGCAGAATAAGAATAGAGATGCTGAGTAATGTATTAAAAGTCACTTACTTAACACTTTTGCAAGCTACTAAGTAAATGCTATTCTTCCAAAATATAAGTGGCCAATACTACCATTTTCCCCTTTGGGTAAACCTATTGGCAATAACGGGATTAGGTGTGGAAGCTTGGGGTAGACAGAATAGCTGTGTTCCCTAAGCCCCAGCTCCATTATAGAGTTCATTTGCCTGGAAATATTTATTCACTTAGAACATGAATCAGCAGAGGAGTGTGCTTGCTCAGTAAATTTAACTCAACAAACATTTGTGGGGTAGCACTATTTTTATAAGTACAGACCAATTCCCTTTTGTCGCCAGCTGATGTTATTTGCTATTAATTTGCCATACCATATGTTTTTATTTCATACATATAAGTAATTATAAGCCTGTACTCCCTTTGGAAAACTTTTTCTTTCTTTGCCAGCGAGAAGAGGGGCAGGACACTTGGAGTCAAGTGGTAGCATAAAACCCAGTGAAAATCAATTGGCAGGGAAATTTGGTTTGGAATTGTGCTTCAGAATCCACCTCAAGTGCGCCTGGGAGGTCTCCCCGAAAGGATTCAGACCCTGCACCAAACAAGACAACTCAGAAATAATCCATCTGGGGACAGAGCATCTGATGCTCAAACCAGAACACGTATTCATGCACATGAATAACTTAATTTTGTTTTTTTCTTAAGTACCTTCACAGTTCATTTTTTATTTTCCTTAAAAAAAAAAAAAAAAAAAAAGTAAATGGCATTACTCTGGTCTCCAAAACAGATGCCAGTTTGAACTCTACTCTGCCAGCAAGTATTTGGTTTGGCGCTGCAGGGCTTGAGTTGAAAAATATTTGCCGATTCCAAAAAGATTTAACAAGCTTTGCTGAAGATGTCGGTGCCATCTGGCACGTCACAGGGGCTGTGGCACCGCAAAGAGAACTCTCTTGACCACAGATTTTATTTGCCGGAGGTAGCCAATACTGGGAGCTCAGTCGCTTCCTTGGGTCAAGAAGCTGCAAGCTAAATGAGTGAAGGTTCCAAAAGAAAGTGACCAAAGCTGTTTAAAAAAAAAACAAGAAGAAGAAAGGGAAAAAAAAAACACCCCCAAAAAACCTTGCTGCCACTGAAAATGAACTCACTGGGTTTTGATGGCTAATTTTCAGAACTGTCAAGAACATCCTCACACCAACCACCAAACACGGTCCCTAATGTGGTCAGTCAGCAAATCAAATAAATCAACTCCTAGCAAAAGCGATCCTTCAGTAGCGGATGGTAAAACCTTTGCTGTAGTGTATTTTGTTGTCATCTGATGCCTGCCTAATTGTGGTGTTAGGATTTAACTATACACACATTGAATGATGTACTTCAAGCAACTTCACTAAATAGAACCGGCAAATTTACAATACTTTATATTGCAAAGTTGGACATGCATTGCTTTGCCTTAATATTCAGTAGGCCATAAACGCACGAATCTTTCACTGTGATTGGAAAGATTGACCTTACTGTACATAAGCCTCATATGTTAAAAGTTCTCTGAAAGCTGTTACCTAAAATCATGTAGTTCAGTTATCCTGACAGAAAACAAGGCTCTGACCCTTTCCAACCAATGTCACATCTGACAACTATAACAAAAACGCAAAATTATTTCCATAAAAATGTGTGCTTAAAATCACATGTATGTTTCAATGGATATGAGGACAGGAAGAATGGCATTGAAACAGCGACCCCCTTGAAGAAGAGAAATTCTGGATTACTTTTAATTTCAGCTTGTGGGCAGATATAGACATTGCTGGGTGTATCCCACCTCAATGCCTGTGCATCTCCCCAAACTTCTGCATGTCCCTTTCACGAAGGCTGCGTGTTGATCCAACGCTTGTTACTTGATCACCAACTTCAAGGTTCAGTAACAAATATTTTTAAAGAAAGAGCCAGGCTCTGCACTGCCTTCCCACAGAAAGACCTATTCACCAAAACAAAGACAAGCCATCTACCTGACTTGACCCAAATGTAGAAGTCAGAGTAGAAACCAAAAGAAAAGTCAGGAAATAGCAAAAGGGTGATTCTAAGTGTTATTTACCATTTTGGCTTCCGAATGCATCGGCTGGACTTGAGGAGAAGCACAGGGGTTGCTGAGAGTTGGGCCCTGCATTCCCAGGAGGTTGGAGTTGACTGACATTTGTCTCTCCATCTAAGCGGAAGGAAAGCAACAGAGTCAAACGTCTGGGAAAGGCAGCCTAGGTCCTAGCCAAAGTTGCATTTGGCTTTCAAATGAATCATTTAGAGTTTCTTTGAATAACTGTGAAGAAAGACTGTGGTTTGTTGAAGGGTAAGCCTTGAACCCAACCACATCAAAGAATCGCCCAAACCTATGCCTCCTATAGAAAAGGCCCCGAGCCAAAGAGAACTGCATTGCCATGTAGATCATTTCCAAACAAGAGTGTGGAATATTTCCCCTTTTGCAAAACACTCCACCTACCATGAATTATGCTGATTTTTATAGCTGTAAAGAATAGCATATGCATAGAAAAATGCTGGAGGGGTATATAACATACCAAGTGGTTATCTCAGGTTGTCTGTGGCATTTTTCCTCTCCTTAAATTTTATACAGAAACAGGAATCACTTTAGCAATAAAATAAAATTAATTTTAAAAGTATCATTTGGTGGGTCAGTCTGTTGCCCTTACTCCTAAACACACCTGAAATGATCCAGCCCAGGTATTTGATCCCTTCCCTCTGGCATGCATCCTCCTCCCTATTAACCGAGTCAAGACTACACGGTGGCAGTTCTAGGCCTCACAGTGGGACTAGGCCGTGGGGTAAGTGAAGAAAGCAGCCCTGGACTCTGTATGACATGGTCAACTGACCCCACAGTGTGTCTAGAATGAACACCATTCAAATATCTGCAATGAGTTCTGGCATTGCTGTCTCCAGGGTGTCCCTGTTAAACAGTAAATACAGCAAAATCTCCTTTTCAGCCCTGGAAGAATGTGTTTGATGAATTTTTTCTGTTTAGTAGAAAATTAGCACGTTTCAAAGAACCAAAATAAAGCAAATATACAGGGTGGGGCAAAAGTAAGTTTACAGTTGGGAGTAGGCAAAACTCTGAGTTTATTCTTGTATTATTACTTATTAATTATTGTATTATCTCCATGCAAACAAGTGTAAACCTCCTTTTGCCCCACCCTCTATTTTAAACTGAAATCACATGGAAAATAATGAGACGTTTCTAGGGGTATTCTTCAATGCAAGGGATTTTCCCATTTGTCAAAAGATGGAAATGAACACAACAGTTGGAAATTTTAGGAAACCAGGTTTCTGCTCAAAGTAAGTCTAGGTCGTCTTGGAAAATACAGAGCCCTTTATCACTGCCGGAAAGCTCACAGAGGAGAGTAGAGAGTGAGAGTTGAACTAAATGACCTTTTCCCGTCCTTTCCATTGTTGAGAGTCTATGACTGCGGTTCCTGCTGTGCCCACCCCTGGGGCCAGGCGTGATTATGACACTGAATTAGTTTATCTGTCATCTACAGCACATGGGTATGTCAAACTGTTCCAAAAGGAACTATTTGAAGAATTTTCTATTTGTTCTTAGACCACTCCTGCAAAATGTTTTGAGGCTTTACCAGTTCAGTAAAACAAAATACACACATATTTCCCCAAATCTCCAGGCAGCACAGGAACTTTAATTTTTAAAACTGTTTTTTTAAATCATGTTAAAATAGTGCCATTAATTGCATCTGTGTACTCTAAGTCTTGAGTCATGAAGGAGATTGCTCTGAAAAACGCCTATTACTCCCACTTCCGGAGGCAGGGGGATAGGACCACTGGTGTAGCATTTGACTCCTTTTTCCGATTGGTGACTTTCTCTTAGAGGGAAATCAAGTCCAACTGAGCTTTTGTTCTCAGTTTTCCATAGGAGGAGGATTGTCCCTCAGAAGCACAGATGGTTGTCGGAATGGTCCCAAGCTACCAGCCCAAATGCACTACAAAACGTGAGAGGGACCTGCTTGCCGCCTCTGGACCTGCAGTTGGGCTGTGGCTGTGCTTCCCACTTTTCGGAAAAGATAGAGCCTATGACTATTTCTACCCCTTGACTCAGAAATTAAACAAAATATTGAAAACAGGCTGACTTCTCTATCTTAAAAAAATTGCTCATTTCCCTCTAAATAATTAGAGGGGGTTAGCAGGAATCTCTTCAAAACAACTATTTGGTGCTTCATACTAACAAGGCTCTGCACCGTGAGTGTGGCTTTGCTGAGTTGACTAGAATAAGGGGTCAAAAGATAGGAGTAGCTTTACTGAACAAAGCAACAGTTAGCACTCTAGGTAAAACATCCAAGGAAAGGAGTTTTCATTTTTTTGAGCTTCTTCTTTTCCCTGGAAACAAACTGGAGCACAGGAGCTGAAACATCTGCACTTCACTGGCTTCTGTAATAATAAATGGATGCTCATATTCCCAAATTACTTAAGCATTGACTATTGACTTTCAAGAGAGGCTATCACAACCCAGTGAGCTCTGGTCAGGCAATACCTGCCTTGCTCTTCACCATATCCCAGCGTCTAGCACAGTAGCTGGCCCACAGAAAGTGCTCAGCAAAAGTTTGTAAAATGAATGAATGAATAAGCAAATCCATCATTCTGTTTCAGACCTAAAGGCCTTGTGAATGTGTGGCTTAACAACATGCTGCAAATCAGTTAAGGATCTCATCTTCCCTGCAGGCAGAGGTTTTCTTTTGTACCCAGGGAATCATGGTTGGTGGGGCAGGAACCCTAGAAGAAGACCGTGCTTGAAATGCCAAAGTGACAGCGAAGGAGCTGGTGACTTTATAATAAGGAAGAAAAGGCCCAGATTGCTAGGGCCTGCAACTGTCAGGACGTGCCTTGTGGAGCTTTTTATTAATTTTCATTAGCTACATCAGGGTCACTCTGGACCACAGTTTCCCGACCTTGGCACTATGGACAATCTGGGCAAAATGATTCTTTGCTGTGGGGCCATCCTGTGCACTGTAGAATGATCAGCAGCGTCCCTCCCCTCGACTCACTACATGCCAGTTGCATCCCCACCCCAAGCTGTGAAAACCAACAATGTCTCCAGGGGGAATGTAAACTGCTTCATACTTTTCAAATCTCAGCTGCTCTGCTTCTCAGACAAGCAAGTTCCTTGCCTTACTTCACTCATTTAAAAAATGGGGGTAGTATTAGTACCTACCTCCTAAGATTGTTTCAAGTGTTGATAAAGTGCCTAGAGACTGACTAACACGTGAGAAGCACTGGACAAATGCTGTTAGAATAATTAACAGAACATGTTATGCATGAACACATGTCAAAGTGATATGTACCATCATTATTTTTCTTCTTATTACTCTAAGCCCTGGCTAGACCACTCACTGTCAGTTTAAGGACGCTCTGTAAATAGCCTAGTGTTGACTTTGCAGTAGGCACACAGCTGTATCCCTGTACAAATTCCATTCCCTGGGTGTGGCCAGGCCACTTGTCACCAGCAGGAAGATGAGCCCATGCCTCACTAGGGAGGCACTGAAGGACAGGGAAAGCCAGCAAGATGCCTAGGGATGGACAAGTAGGTACTCAAAGCCGCCCAGCACACAGCTCAACTCCATCTAGAAGGAGCTACCTTCTTCTCAGTCAGCTGAATGCTCAGCTTTTCGTTTACATTTTCATAGGGGCAAGACTGGGAGGAAGCGAGAAGCACTTACTGGCATGAGGACGGCGGAAGATCCGGGCATCGTAGGGTTGGGCAGGGTCCCAGGCATGGAGGCTGGCATGGGCTGTCTCTGTCTGTTGTGGATGTGTAGCAGAGAAGATAGAGAGCCTGGGACAGGCCTGGGGACAAAGCGGGAAGAAAGCAAAAATTATTCCTGATCATCCAGGCAGGGATTTCACTGCCTGTTTCTCTGTGACCAGAAGCAGCCGGGACAACACCATTATGTGTGTAGCAGATCAGCAGCTCAGATGGGAGCCACATAATTGAGGATATTGGGGAAATAATAACAAATAAAACAAAAGTCTGGCTTCCTTTGCTGCTTCCTAGTTAATACATCAAATTCCACTTCATTTCCTGACCTCTGTTACCTAACTGATGTTCAATAGACAACAAGCTGATAAATCTCCTAAAACCCCATCTCTTAGCAATGAGACATGGCAGTGAAATCCTGTGGTGACTGGGAAGTCTCGGCCCCCTGGATGTATGTACATGTGTTTTATCCACACTCTCCCACACCTCTGCCTGGAAGCCCGCCTGCCTTTGCTCTGGATACATTTTTACTATCTGGATTTGCAGAGCCAGCTTCATTCATGAATTCCCAATAAAAATGTATTTTGACTTTTGCATTGTTTTCCATTGCAAATAGGAAAAAAACCATAAACAAACAAACAAACAAAAATGAAAACCAGGACACACATCTGTCCCGAAGGCAGCCGGGTTGTGTTCACGGCTCTGTGGCTGGCCTCTCCCTGGGTGAGTCCAGAGCCCTGCCCCCAATTTCCAATCCCTCGCTTCATAATAACTCGAGGTGTTAGGCTGTTTGACAGAAACTGAGTTTGGCCTGACCTGCAGGACTTGGGTAAGCACGCATTCCTCGGGGGAGTACATAGTTAGAGTTTTTGCTTCAATTTGCCAGAAAATTTTTTAAGGGCCTTAAATTGATTTAATGAGCCAGGGAATATGGGGCTGAGGGAAAAAGGGAATTATTTGTGTTTATTAAAAAATGGCAAACAAATGACCTCCTTGGCTAAATTCTCAATCTCCTGATGCTTTTGCTCTGGGGAGCTGTGTAAATGTCAGACCAGTAAGTTAAAGATCTAACAACAAACAAGTAAACAAACATGCCTCTGGACCTCTGAATTGGTATGCTAAATCACCTTCTCCTGAGTGCCACGGTAGAAGCTATTGCTAACTAACTTAATGCATTTCCTTTAAAAGAAGAAAATTCCTCCCATAAAGTTGCACACAGAGAGAGGCTGTGCAGGCTGACGCCTCCCTGTGCTTCAGGGAGAGCCCCGTCCAAGCAGCGGGAGACGCCTATTCTTCGGAACTCCTTTGCCTCCCGTGGTGACTCATGCACAAGTGCGAGACTGAAAAGGGGAAAGAGGCCAAAACACTGTTTCTTCGTGGGGTTGCTACAACCCCAAAGAAAATCAAGTTTGCCCCCTTTGTGCCTGACAGCGCCTTTGGAAATATAGCTAGCTAATCAGGGCCACACATACCATAAAAAGATTAGTCGTGAATTAGTCAATATTTATATGTTTGGGGAGTTGTATATATGAAAATACAAAAGAATAGAAAGCCTTTACACAGTTTGCACAGATAGACACAAATTACACCCAGATTTTTAAAAATAGAATGTGTGTATGAGTGGTTACATAGACAGGCCAATGAGATGAGTGTTTTCAGAAGAGCAAATGAAGTACTTGGTAATTTCTTGACATGTGCCCCAGGGACCTTTGGAGTATGGAGTAACAGTAAGGACTAGTAGGGCCTTTGAAAGCCCTGCAGCTTTTCCAGTTCTAGGAAACTCTTGGTCTCAAGTGTTCCAGGATTCTGTAGCAGGCTGTAACTGCACCGAGTCTAAGGTCTTATCTGATTCAGAGGTACATACCTTGAGTCAGATAGGTGTGCCTTGTGGCTCAATCAACGGACAGTGTTTGTGTTATGTTCTCCAGTCTTAATGTTTTGTTTGAGACATTTACTGAAAATAAAATGGCTGTATATAAACTCTATCATGCTTAATAACTTTCATTCCTCTAAAGACAAGATTAATAATGTGAACTCCACAGCTTCACAATGAGAAAGATTCATGGAGAGCATCCCTACAAATCATTCATCCATCCATTCACCCTTCCATCTATAGATCTATGTATCCATCCCGATATATAGATGTGTATACAACTATGTATATATGTAGGCATACATACATACATTAATACATATCGATACATACATCTATACATATATCATGCACATATATACAGCCTTCTACCATATGTCTTTCTCCTAGACACCATGAGGAATAATACTGCCATTATAGACAGGGACAAGCAAAAACTGTTATTGGAAAGACAACTAAATTTTTCTATGATGCTGATTGGCAATGTCATCCTTATGAACAAAGGGCAACATATTATCATTTACATTTTTGTTTCTAACATGACATGTTAATAAAAGTCTGGTTATAAGTTTTTAACAATGGGTTCTTTTTTTACAAGAAATCAATTAAACAACCTAATGGTGATATGAATGGAGATGCTAAAGTAATTAAATTTAAAACGAGTGTTCATTCTTCCCAAGACTATGGGAAACTCCCAATGGTATAGAATAATTGGGGAATGGTATGTTTCATTTAATTCAACATTCTTATTAGGTCCGTCATTTCCACATGTGCATAAATCTATTAGATTTTAAAATATCATGTATTTCCCCATTAATTAAGAAAGGCTTTCAAGGTACTGGGTTCCCTTGGGATTATAATAATAATTACCTAATGATGCCAATCAGTCCAATTAGCAATGTATAGTTAAAGGGGAAAATGGTTATTTAAGAACGTTGGATGTTTGGATTCTAAGTAATTTTGAATTATTGTTTTACAGAGATTCTGTACATAATTCCCCAACCCTACCTATAAAACTGATGGAGTTTTCTAGGCTCCTTGCTTGGGCTTTTAAAACTACAAAAACTGAAAGAAAAAAATCTATGCCTATCCATCACTGGGTATACAAAGGACTAGACTGAAGTAATTATGTAGCTTGGCCCAGGAAATAATCATTTGTCCAGAATAGTCAGATCATTGAAGCCAAGAGCAGTATGGGAATAATTGCATTAATTAATTCCCCTTGTGTATATAAAAATAATTATTATTTAATACCTTGCACTTGCATAAAACATTTTATATAGCACTTATAAACTGCTTCACATTTTTCAAAATATTTTCACCTTCATGTGACTTGAAACAATGCAATGTGGTAGGTAGGGTCTATTACTCCCATTTTACTCAGGAGTAAACTGAATTCAGAAACATTTAAATTGGCCCAAGGTCAGATGGGTCATGAAAGAAGCAAGACTTTTACCCAACTTGCAAAAGAGAGTTTCCCCCATCACACCTTGATGGATCTCGTAACTAAGTTATTATTGATTTTTTTCAAACTCAAATAAATTCATAGTCCATTTCCTTTGATAGTCACACTGCTCTGGACTTTTGAATGAAGTAGTAAAATTCTGCAATACTGCTAACATGAGAAGTCACTCATCCAATGTGAAATTATATTTTCTTCCTTTAAAAGGAAAAAAAAAATACTTCCCAAACAACACATCAGTTAGATTCCGAAAATAAAGATGGCAAATTGCAGGAAAGTTGTAAAAACAAAGACCCGACAGTCTTTCTCCAGTGCAGGCTTGTTGCCATGAGCTAATAATTCCAGACTTTGAGCAAGCCGAGCCTCCTTTTTAATAACCATATGCCTCTAGGTAAAGTATTTCTACTAAAAATTATTGAGGCATGGCACAAGGTAAGATGTGTGAGCTCACGTTGGATTGTTCACTTACTGAGTCCTGTAGCACTAAGAGTTTTCCAACGTGACAGATTATTCCTCTTTATACACTTGTATAAACATACTGCTTACGGCTGAAATCTATGTAAGCTTTTCTTTCAATTAAAATGTCAAGGATGACAGACTGTGTTTTCACTGTCCTTATTAACAGAACGCTAGGTACCACAGCAAGCGATTTCACGTCTTCGTTCCCCCTCCCATCCCAAAGGATGTTTTCCAGCCTAGGGGTGTCTGGAACGCAAGGGCTGTGTCTGCCGGTCTTCCTTGCCCTTCGACAAGCCCAGCTATCTTTAAGGAGCTAAGGGCGAGTACTTTTGTTTGGAAAGTCTCAGGAGGGTCGCAGCTAACTGCTCCCTCTCCCCAGGTCTTCACGAGATCCAGGACAGCTACTAAACTCTCAGGACAGATGGACCTGCCAGGTATGTGGACAGGCAAAGGGAAGAAGCAAGCGATGAAAAAAAAAATTAAGTCAGAAAAATCAGAAGATCAATGTTAGCATTGAAATCAGACAATAGACATCTGAAACTTTGAGGAGATTAAAAAAAAAATAACAACAAAGGGACCTGGGGGATGGGGGGCAGAATAAAAAAAGCTTCAAAGCAATAACATGGAAAGAAGAGTAGGCATGCGGCAGGAGGGCCAGGTGCCACTGCTGTTAGAGTTTCTGACGCTGGGGAAGAAACTTCCTCAACTTTGGGGCTCTCTGTTTCCTTGTCTCTTTAATGAATGTTTCCTAGTATAGGCCACTTGGAAATCTCTTGAAACTCTAAAATTCAGATTCTAGGCCTTGAAATGAAAATGAGATGTTCTCAAACTAGCAAGGCTATCTGTTCCATTGTGATAAAGGTTTTCCTCACTGCTCACCGGCACATCCACAGTGGTTAGCCCAGTGCCTGGCACAGAGGAGGTGGTCAGTGCCTGTATTAAATAAAATCGAGCCAGTACAGCACCTACTTCTTAAGGTCAAAACGACACCTGAAACGTGAATAAATCCCAAATAGAAGGTGTCCCTAAAGGTGAGATAAATTGGGGGGAAAGGGCCCAGTGCCCCCATGGGACCCACACTTCTTTTTCACTTAAATGCAACATAATTTCACACATAGACTAGAGAAAGCTCATTGCCCGAGCTATCTTTGTATTTGCTAATGAAAAGAACTGTGTGCCTCCTTGACACCTTCTTGCATGCAGTGTTGTGGCCTCGCCTGGGAGACCTGGGAGACCTGGGAGACTAGTTTCTGTGTGAGATGGGCAGACAAAGAGTCAAAGAGGGAACACACGCT